AATATTTATTTTTATTTCATATTCATGATCTCCATATTAAAAATTATGTATTATCTAAAATTAAGATCAAATTATATTTAAAAAATACGTTTATCGCCAAGCCCGCATTTTTACACTATCCGGGTAGGCCATATAAAAACCGTGTCCTATATTTAGAGAGAGAAAGAGTTATCGAAAGATTCCCGCTTCAACGTCTCCCTGCAACCCCAAAGGCCCAAACCCCCCATCTTCCCCAAAGGGCTCTCCCCTCTCTCAATCTCTACAGGTCCAGGGTCGGATTCGAGTACGGGTCCAGTTGCCACCCCTACAATGTACTCTCAATCAATTTTTTTTTATTGCAACTTTTACCCCAGAATAAACTTTTCTAACAAATACCTCCTAGTCAAAAAGTTATAGTATTTAGGACGAAAATTCCATCTCTCCCTACCAACATTGACAACTTAATTTTTCTCGCAACACACAAAAAGGTGGTCCCATAGTTTAAACAAGTGAGGGCCCATGCAGTCTGGCACTGCGAAAGAGAGTCCGGCAATAAGACCATGCGGTATGGCAATAAGTCCATGTGGTCCGGCAATAGGCCCAAAGTGCGGTCTAGCAATATCCCCGCTCGGTCTGGCATATTGTTGACTTAGTTCGTCACACCATATCTAATATTTTTTCTAATCGTTGAGTATCTTACGGAGATGTGACGCCATCATATACAGACAATGGTATTTTTATCAAAAAATCCAATGACATTTTTATTTGAGGGGATATTTGCTAAAAAACTTGTTTTGAGGTAAAAGTTATGATAAAAATATTGGTTGGGGGGATGTTGTCTAGAAAGTCCAAGTTGAGGGGTATTTGCAATTTTCCCTAATTTATTTTAGTTGACGCCTTCTTGGATGAGCTCATTTTAACGTGTGGTTTGGTGATACTGAGGTGGTGTTTTTTAAAACAAGTGAGGTTTACATAAGGCGTTAATGGTATACTATTGAAACAAAGTGCATCTTAAAATTATGCTGAAAGATGTAATTTCAATACTGGAAAGTTTTGTTAGCATAAAAATCTAATGTTATCTTAGATATACAATTTAAAGCTCTGTAAATGATGTTGATCGAGTAGATCTGTAAACCATAAAAATTTTGAAAAAATTACAAAGACATGGTTTCAACGTGTATTACAATATGGGTCATATTTTTAGAAAAACTATATGGAGACCAACCCCACGCCGCATCACTTTGTTCTTCCAAAGTTGCCCACCTGTATGGCATTTTCAACATCGGACAGATGAGAAAATCCGCAAGTTTTGGTCCACCCCTATTAGTAAGAGCATGCTTCGTACTACAAAAATTAAACAGACACATAGTTTTGAGTTTTTAGTACTTCACAGCTCAACTTCTCATGTTGTTTGCCATTAGAAAAAGTTGGACCATTTATGAGTAATTATTATTATGTAATTGGTATAATAGATTTGATGTAAGTACTTTTATTCAAATAAAATAACATAAATAAAATAACAAACAAATAAAAATAATTATAGTACATAAATTTTATTATACTAATTAAACAGTTAGAATATAAATAATAATAATTACTTCAATAGGTGTAGTATTTCTAATTCTGGCCAGCTTAGGAAGTTATGCCGTCCGACATTTAAAAAGTAGAAGAATATGGCTATTCAATATTGCACATATTAGACAAGCCCTGAGTAAGAGATTTTTTATAAGTTGAGTTTTCTGGTATTACAAACACTAAACAGCGTGTTTGTTTGGTGTTGGTAATATTGAATAGGCCCTTACTATTAGCAATGGCCCAAAACTTGTGGGATTCCCACCTGTTCAGTGTTGGACATGCTGATAGATATGCAATTATGGGAGAAAAGAAAGGGTCGTGGATGTGGGTGGTTCCCACATAGTTTTTACAAAATTATGACCTATACTGTAATAAATGCATTGAAATCGTATCGATGTGTAATTTTCCTAAAAGTTTTGAAAATGGACAACCCATTGCAAGATATACTATTTTCATGACTTAAAATCTTTTTTTCTTTCTTTTTTTAATCCGTATATCACGAGGTAGAGATGATCAATTTGAGGCTTTTTTTCTTATCATCAAACGACCTTTTCCGATGGGTTTTTAAAGTGTGTCTTCAATAATATAAGGTTGAAATCTTGTGTAAACTTTTTAAGTGAAAATTAATAGTGAACATAATAATAGTAATAGTAATAAAAATAAAAACAAAATAATTATATAAAAAAATAAACTTTTTTGAGAGTCCATGGTACTAATAATACACCTGGGGACCATTAGGATTAGAAGAAGTTCCATTTTATTCTGTTTGGTGGATCATACGCATAGCTTGGTCCAAGAGGACCACTCATCCTTTTTCCTTTGGGTCTTCTCTATGACGTGGCTTGTAGTTTCTTTGACGTGTTGGCCCTTGACAATCCACTATGATCGTGTAAGTAAATTAAATATGCCATCTTCCTATTGTATAACCATGGGATGTGTCTTTTTAAATGGAGCTTTTCTCACTCTAAGCAAAAACAAATATGGGAAGATGAATGGGTTGCAAGCTCTGGAGAGAGAGTAATAATATAAATAATTCATTGTGATGGTATACTCTTATAAAGTGGACCTTTGGTCCACCACCTTTTCTTTTTTTGTTTATCATTAGGTAATGTGATATTTTTGTTAACGAACTAACTTATAAATTTGATGGTCTAATTTGTTTTGGATGGACCATAAGTCCAACATCTCCAATTTATGTGTGCCTTTCACGGCCTACCGTAAATCCAACTCATCACCGAAGTATGCCCCTATTTATGTGTGCCTTTCACGGCCTCTAAACATTTTGTTGGATGTGGAAAGGACATCTTTCATGGTTCTGTTTGTTCATTAAAGTGCAATAGGCAGCTGACTTTCATAGTCTATAGCAATGATGTTATGAAATATGGAACTTTTATTTGATAGGCTGATCTACTATGATGATTAGGATTGCCGGTGCTTCCAAATTTTTGTCATCGAGCTCTTGTGCATACTGACTCATAAGATCTACTATAAACGGGCGGCCCTTTAGTGCCCCAACCAACATACACCAAAAGCATGAATTGCTTGAGTGATTATATGTAAATGACCTCATTTTTTTGAAAAATAATCATCTGAAAAGTGGTATTATCGCTTTCAATAAAATTATAGTGTTTCCGTACACTATTATGAATTTTTAGATGCTATAAGCTCTACATGTAGGTGACTTCATATTTTCATTATTTGAAAAAACTAATATTATTGCCAGAGATATTTTGGTATTTAATTGTAGTATTTCCAGCGTAAATGTTAGGTATTGTAAG